CTCTCTCTCTCTCTCGCCATTTCTCCCCCCCCTCCCTCTCCCTCTCCTTTCAGCCTGCATGCAGTATTTTTCACAACGTCGTATTACTTCTTCCTAGCCTTCGTCATTTCCCCCGCCTGGCTACTGCATCCTCCCCCAAAGCTTCCCTTCTCTCGTTCCCATGTGCTCTCTCGCGTCTTTTGCACTTGGCGGCATCTCTCCTCTTTCCCATTTTTTCGACCCTGGCTCCTGAGATGTTAACTGCAGGTGGTTGGAGTTGGAAGGTGCCACTCTTTTTTTCCCCCGTCTTTTGTTTCTATCAGTATTTTTCAAAATTGCCTTTTCTTTGCACCAAATGACCGTCAAAAAGTTACCGTGCATCATTTTCGTTGTTCAAACAAACGATACCCAGAAGCTATCTCTGCATGTTCCTCGGCTGCCACTGCTACCTGAGTCTTCTTGTGATCATGCGATGCTTGCACTTTTCTACGACTTTGAGCTAACCCGATTTCTCTCTTGCCTTGGCTAGACCACCAGTACAGTCGATCATCTCATCTCGTGCTGCGGGTTGCATGACCTTTTTGTCGTGATGATTCCAGTAATAATTCCTTTTGTTCTACATTTGTGAAATACCATCCTGAATCCAGATACAAAATATCCCCCCCACCCAATCCTTGAGTATTCTTTTTAGTCTTCAATATTGGGTTACAAGGCTTGAACTATGTGGAAGTTGGAGGGCGTCACTGGTAGCTTTTTCTACTTGTACTTCCTTCTATTTTTTTGCTTTCTATTTTTTTTCAGCCTATCTCGCTTTTCCCCTGCTATGTGGCCCGTTATCGTGTCGGTGGGCTTTATCTTTACTAAGACTCAACTACGAGTAAGATATAAACAGAATGAAAGAAGTCCGTTCACACTCCTGTCACCTTCCCAAATGACTCTCTTATTCCTCTGCTATGTGGGTGGTTAGAGGGTGCCGCCGGTAGGTCCTACTTTTTCTTTTCCTCTGTTGTTGTTTCTTTTCGTCTGTCTGTCTGTCTGTCTGTCTGTCTGTCTAGTCACGTCTTGTTGTTGTTTTTTTTTTCAATTT